TCGGGGCGGAATGCTACAGATAGGATGTCGGCCATGAGTTGTAGCGGCTCGCTTGTTTGGGTGCGAGCAAAGATGTTCCAGACGCGAACAGTCCTGTCCCAACTTCCACTGACCAGCGTACCAGCATCAGGAGAAAATGCTAGGGATGATACAGGGCCTTCGTGACCAGATAGTCTGTCAAGCAACTGGCCGGTCTGGACGGACCAGATGTGAATGTCGAAAGAATCGATCGAGCCCGCGCATACGACCTCGCCGCTTGGGTCAACCGCTAGGGACGAAAAGGAAAGCCTCGATGGCGCTGTGAAAGTGCGGAAGTTGCGGTACCGGTGGAGATCCCAAGCCCTGATGGAGCCATCAAGACTGGCTGTGAACAAGACGTTTCCCTTCTTTGCGAATTCGCAGGCCGTCACACCGCCCATATGTTCTGTGAACGTGACGACACAGAAACCGGAGTTGACTTCCCAGACTTTGATCTTTCCATCGTCTGCCGCTGTTATTATCCGTTGACCGTCTGGCGAGTAGGCGATTGTGTTCATCGAGTCGAAGTGTCCCTGCTGCTTCAAAATGTACGATTCCGACTGCCATTCCCACACGAGTAGCTGGCCGAGTTTCGACGCGCCAAACGCTAGCCATTCTCCGGTCTTGTTGATGGCGACGTAATCGATGTCGTTCTGCGAGATGCTGAGGCTGGAGATTTGCGCAAATTCTGGTAGCTCGTGGATGAAGAAGGCACCGTGGGAGAAGCCTGTCACGAGCAGTTTCGACTCGGGATGGAAGCTGGCGCATGTGACGTGCGCATTGTTCTGATGGAAAAAGTGGCGTTCCTGAATACCCCATTGTAGGTTCTCGTCGTCGTCCGGGTCGGCGTCGGCGGGCGCATCGTAGCGAAGCATGTATTTCCAGACGAACAGCGCTCCGTCCTTGCTGACTGTATAGATGGTCTCTTGATCCTTGGAGAACCATGCACCGACTACTTCCTGCCTGTGTCCACCCAGTGTTGTCTGCGCATGCCCTTCTGCTTGATCAACGCTCCATATCCGCGCCGTCATGTCTTTGGACGCGCTCAGGAAAAATCTCGAGTCGCTAGACCATTCTATGCTCTGGACTGAGTTGTAGTGTCCTGTGTATATCCGGTGTCGCACGAAGGGCGCAAACTCGAGATCGCCTTCGGCAACGTCTGGAGTGGATGGTGTGTGCCATACTTCAATCTGCCTTCCTATGCCTACTGCGAAATGCCGACCAGAAGGAGAGAAAGCGATCGAGGTGACTTCGCCGCGGAGAGAGAAGTGGTAGAGTACGATGCGACGAGGAACGTTGGTGAGGACTGCGCGACCGTCTTCATCGACTGAGAGGAGGAGGTTTCCGCGGGGGTTGAGGGCAAGGCGTGCGATGTTCTTCCGGTGCGCAAACGGAAGCGTGTATGATTTGGAGCTGACTAATGATCAGCGCATATCGAGAGAGGCAGTCGCGACTCGGTGCCTACCTCACAAGATCGAAAACCGTGACGCGGTTACCAACCGGCGACAGCAGACATGTGCCATCGGGTGTGAAGAGAAGATTGCCTCTGCTGTAGACGGTGCCCAGCAGGTTGGAGAACTGTGGGTGTCAGACGCGAACATTTGCACGGCAGCACTCAACTCACCTGAAAGTCAGTCTTCATCTTCAAAGTATCGTGGCTGCGGTCTCGTCATGTCGTGGCGGGCATGATGGTCGCATCTTGAACTTTTTCGAAGCTCGGATCATCGCAGGACGCGCTAGTGGAGTAGTGTGCATTAGTCGCGGTTTCCCCGTTCAGGGTCAGTGCTTGCCGAATGGGCGACTGGCAGAAAGGGGACCCAAATTGTCTACCAACACCACACCTCCTCACCAGACCCCATATCGCACGCCGTTCAGCAACCTCACTGCTGACTTGCTTTTCATCCACCACCTCCACGTATGTTTTCACGCCGTACTCCGCCAATATCAGGCCCCTAATAGCTAACACCACGCAGACCCCATACACACCAGCGGTCAACCACACATCAGCACAATGGCCGAGTCCGCGTCCCCCATTGGCATTGCCAATGTACGTATACCATCTGCTCAGCCAATATCTTCAATTCGTATACTAACATGCATTGCAGCTGCCCAACCAGAGGTACTATCAACAAAGCGGACACGCAGCTTCGGCCCTAACGTAGCACAGGCACAAGATTGTTGCAAAGCGCGGTGCTGCCTTCACCATAATGGTACGCATACCATCCCCATGACCAATCGACTTCAATCTAACTAGCCCAGGTTGCTGGCGAGTCTGGTCTCGGAAAGACGACCTTCATCAACACCCTCTTCTCCACCACCATCAAGAACTACGCCGACCACAAGCGACGACACCACAAGCAGATGGACAAGACCGTCGAGATTGAGATCACCAAGGCCGAGCTCGAGGAGAAGTTCTTCAAGGGTATGCAGCGCCATCCTGCTATTCGTTCTTCATGCTAACACACCTAGTCCGTCTTACCGTTATCGACACCCCCGGTTTCGGTGACTACGTCAACAACCGCGACTCGTGGCAACCCATCATCGAGTTCCTCGACGACCAGCATGAGTCGTACATGCTTCAGGAGCAACAACCGCGCCGCTCCGATAAGATCGATCTCCGTGTCCACGCCTGCCTGTACTTCATCCGCCCCACCGGCCACACCCTGAAGCCCCTGGACATTGAGGTCATGAAGAAGCTGTGCACACGCGTCAACTTGATCCCGGTTGTAGCCAAGGCCGACACACTGAGCCCAACAGACCTGGCCAAGTTCAAGGCGAGGGTAAGTTGGTCCATCTACATGCCACCAGCAAATACTGACCGCTTTTAGGTGCGCCAAGTGATCGATGCTCAGGGCATCAAGATCTACACCCCCCCTCTCGAGGATGACGACGCCGCCGCCATGCAACACGCACGCGGTCTCATCGATGCCATGCCCTTCTCCGTCATCGGTTCCGAGAAGGATGTCCAGACCAACGACGGCCGCACTGTCAAGGGTCGCCAATACGCCTGGGGTGTTGCCGAAGTCGAGAACGAGGAACACTGCGACTTCAAGAAGCTCCGCGCTATTCTCATCCGAACCCACATGCTCGACCTCATCCACACCACGGAGGAGAACCACTACGAGGCCTACCGCGCTGGCCAGATGGAGACAAGGAAGTTCGGCGAGGCGCGCCCAAGGAAGCTGGACAACCCCAAGTTCAAGGAGGAGGAAGAGGCGCTCCGCAAGCGTTTCACCGAGCAGGTCAAGGTTGAAGAGCAGCGCTTCAGGCAGTGGGAGCAGAAGCTTATTGCTGAGCGTGACCGCCTCAACAAGGATCTCGAGGCCAGCCACGCGGAGATCAAGCGTCTTGAGACGGAAGTGGACAGCCTCCAGGGAAGCATCAACCGCTCTCACGGCCGTCGCTAGACGCACCTTTTGGCGTTGGTGGTGTTGCACGTACAGAGATGGTGCAGCGATTCAGCATGGTCGCACTAATTCTCCACATTCTTCCTTCAAGATTCCCCTTTCTGTTTCCGTAACTTCGGTTCTCATATGTCTGTAATGTCGCGCCGCCGTGGGGATCACTGTAGGCGACGCGTATCTAGGCTTGAGCTAAAACAGCATGTCATAGCTTATAGTTGTATAACTTGGTATTAATCTATTATGAAGACCGCTGGTCGCTAAATCTTGTTCTTGGGTATAGTGATGTTGAGATGGTAGACTTAAACCTGTAATCCGCCAAACACCCTGTCCAGCTCCTCGCCTTCTTGTGCCTTGCGCTCCGCCTGCGGATCTAGGTCCATCAGGTTCTGCTCTGGCACCTCGTCTTCCTTAGCCGACTCATTGTTATCGCCAGGTCCCTCCGGCTTAATGATATGCACACCACTGTCCAACCACCCAGGCGCAACCCTCCTTTTCTCCGCGAGATCCTCCTTCCGCCGCCTCTCCTCCCACTCCGCCAACGTCCTCCTCGCGTCCGCTTCCAGCTTAGCAAGGTGCTCTTGTAGCGCGACACACGACGTGAGTATCTGGTCTGGATGCGCTGATGTGCCCGTTGACGAGGTGACATATGCTGGTTTCGACGCAGAGGCGTTGGGGTTGGACGGGTCTTGTTGTTGCTGCTGCTGGGAGAGGATCGAGGGCGGCAGCGTTGACGGCAGGGTTACGTAGGAGTATGGCAGGGGGACGGATGTGGGGAGGGAGAGGAAGGGCGAGAGTGTTAGGGGGACTTGGGCGAGGAGGGGGTGGGGGTCTGTGGGAGTGGTGTTAGCGAGGTTCGCGCGTGTTGTGCTGGGTGGAGGGACGCGATGCGATGCGACGAGTAGTCACACTTCAGAGCTCGCATGTCCGAATGAGACGATGCCGAGGTCGCTAGTGATCTCTCAACATGCTCTCAAGCGGCACCCTCGCACTGGAGCTCACAACTGGTCGCATGGTCTGGCTATGCGCGCGCATTGCGCTGGGTGTGCATTGTAGCGGGGAAGAGGAGCACTCACGTTCGTCGTGCATATTCGATATGGCTATACGCGTACGTCAGGGTCCGTCGATTTTGCCAAAGTAGCAGTATCAGGGCGTATATTCGGTCTTGTCGAGTACGGTGGGGCGTAACTTTGCGGGAACGGTGTTGCAGGGCTTGGGGTTGTGGAGGCACGAGGTGTTGGTGGGGAAGCTCCAGGTTGAGTGGAGCTGCTGACGCAGGTACGGAGTTCCAAGGTTCCACGGTTGGAAGCTGCGGTCACGCGTTATGCATGTGAGATAGATGCGGGCAGATTGTTTGTGGGGTGCATACACGAAGACAGTCTTGGGGAACGGTTTATCTTGCGTGTTGATGGGGAAGTCATTTCTTGTGGCATTATGGATGGATCTTGAGTGTAGCGAAAGTGTATCTATATTTCCACTACCCTTTCACTAGATTGCATTTGGGTTGGATCTTGTATGTACTTGACGCAACAAGAAGAAGAGAAGTTTATGTATGTGTGCGTGAATGTCCCCCATGTTTGCCTACCTGATCTTGGCAGAGCAAGTGAATGGTCTCGGACCGGGAATTGTGTAGCTGGTCGGGATCGGCCAGTACAGTTGAAACTTAATCCCCGGGTCAGTCGCTTTGTATGCACCTGGAAAGCTGACAGTCGCCGGACTGGCACTGCCACCTCCTGTCACATTGATTTGAGCACACTCCATATAGAGTTGAGCACCGGGGTAGTTTGAGGCGGCATGGAGAGCAATGAGCTCTGCGCGAAGGAGGTACCTGGAAAGACCCGTGTCAGTCGACCATATAGATTTGGTAAGAACTTGGAGATGACTTACTGTCCACTGGGTATGCACGACGGCAGTACAAAGTCTACCAGGCCCTTGTTGTTATACAGTCTTGTAACGGCCCACTCGCCATTGGCATCCATACCATCCTCGTAGATCTTAAACCACTTGAGTCCCGTCACTTTGGTAGACAAGGCATCATCGACTCTGGCAAGGTAGACCATGATGGGTCCCAGATGACCGGGGTCAATTGGATCTGACTTGTCCGTCTCGGGCTTGGAATCGAGCGTGTGGTGCCACTCGGCAGTGAGCTTGTCTCCAGCTTTGACCTGACAAGGAGTAAGCCGAAGCCATGTGGCGTTATTGCTTATTGCGCAACCAGCGTACATTGATGATGTCTTTGGGAAGAGGCGTTCTGTAGGGGTTTATGCTGAATGCGGGTCAATCTAGCGCTTGGTTCCACGCTTTGTAATGCTTTACCCGCCATTACAGATCACATCGTTTGATGTAACGTCCGTTATTGGTCTGGAAACGTAAGTGAGTTGGAGTTCAAAAGGCGATTGCGGGGTGCATTACCCGTCGTAGGTCTGTGTCGTGCTGTTAGCAGGGGAGCAACATGGGAATCGTGAACATGCTCACCGGCACTCGAATCCCCTTAGTGTGTCCTTGCGCCACGCCATTGACGTGTAGCTGGGTGAAAATTGTGTGTGCCGAAGCGCTGGCCAGTAAAGCACAAGTAACCGCATAAGCCTTCATCATGTAGGCTACTACGTTAGATCCTGAATGTCCTCATCAACGCGTCGATGAATCTTCCTATATGCCATTGTTGTGCACCGTTCTCAAGCTGTCCAAATGGAACACGGCATTATTGTTCAAATCTGGTCGACCTTCCAGTTCGGCACGCATGCGACTCGCGGTAGACTCGCGTGACCAGAGACACTTTAATCCCAATCTATTTCGCCCGCCGTAACGCACTTTTGAAAATATACTGTGTATGCACGAGACACGTGCTTCGTGGATTCTTCAGAGCATAGAACCCTCGGCATATTCCAAATAGGCAACGAGCACCAATGCGGTCGTGACTGCGCGTTCTTTGAACCGGCGGTTGGGTGGAAAAACCGCAGTATTAATTACAGGGAGGAGGATATGACCGAGACATGCCGCGACACCGTGGCGCGGCTCTTGGAATGTGGGAAGCGAGAGGAGGAATGCGTAATATAATAGATTGTGTGTTACTGGTCTGGTCAAGTGTTTCAATCAATGAAACGTGCGCGTCTTGTCGGTCAGCGAGAAGGCTTGGAAGCCGTCCTTCATTTTGGGGCAGCCTTGCGGAATATGCGGGAAGAAGCCGGTACCGAGAAGGCTGTGGCGGTTGCACGAGGTCAAGGGCACAGACTTGATAATCCTTCCGACGAAGCTGGTGGTGCAGATGGTGCATTTGAAGAGGCTGATGCGAGGCGAAAGCGCGAAAGTGACGGTCCATCCCACCAGCCACTAAACGATTGTGGGGAAGCCTGGGCCCGAACGGGCAAGGGGCACATGGCTAACGGCGATGCTAAGTCGCAGTCCCGGCTTCTGTCAATCTACATCAATCAATCCACCCATGCCGCCGTAGTTTCGACATATTAACGACTAACCTTGAATCTCGGCCAGATCACCTACGTTTTGAAACAGCCAATGACGATGTCGCCCACGGTAATCACGCCCCTCGCTTGGCCCATCCTAGCCAGCGCGCGTCTTCCGTACCTGGTTCAATGCGCACTTCTGCCGCCTCCAGAAGGAAGTTCCCCAGGTAGTGGCTTGGCCACGGGTGTCAACCCCATACACGGCGGCGTAGTCTAGCATGATGTTGATATGTATATAACACGTCCGCACCCTGGCATAGCGATAGAGGCCACAGCTACAACTTGCGCTTGTCAATTCATCTCATCTTCGACGTGCTGGTAACAAGTCTCCAAGATGAAGACCTCTTCTTTCGTTCGAGCGGCTTCGCTGCTATCCTCTCTTTTCGCCCCTCTCGCTCTTGCGCAGGAAACGTTCACCCACGAAGGCACCGGTATTGAGTTCTGGCGCCAGACAGTCAGTGACGCCCAGACTGCAGGTGGTTTCGAGTGGGGTTGGGTACTGCCTGGAGAGCCTACTGGAGCCAACGACGAGTACATTGGTTACATTGTAAGTTATAGCAAGTCTGTGTCGATGCTGCAGCCGCTAATGTTCCCCAGAAAGGTTCGCTCGAAGCAAACAGGCAGGGATGGTCCGGTGTCAGCCATGCTGGTGGCATGCCAAACTCTCTTCTCCTCGTTGCATGGCCGGAAGAAGATGCCGTCAAGACCAAGTTTGTCTGGGCAGGTGGCTATGTCGCTCCTGAGGACTACACTGGCAACGCGACTTTGACTCAAATCTTCCACTCCGTCACCGACACACACTTCGAGATCGTCTACCGATGCGAGCACTGCTGGGTCTGGAACCAGGGCGGTGCTGAGGGCTCTCAGCTTCCCACTACTGAGGTCAACGTTATCGGTTGGGCCCAGCATGACAAGATCTATGACGGTACCTGGGTTTTCCACAACAAGGGACAGTCTCAGTTCGGCGCTCCTACCGCGGACGCGAGGAACGCAAAGTACACCGACTACCTCAAGTTGGTAGGTGGCCAGCCTTCTGGTGCACCTACACCGACCAAATCTGGTCAGCCATCGGCTACGCCCACTCCAACAGCACCTGTCAAGTGCCAGGGATCGCCTGCTCCTTCAGGCTCCTTCGACTACATCGTCATTGGCGGTGGTGCTGGAGGTATTCCCGTAGCAGACAAGCTTTCTGAGTCTGGCAAGAGTGTTCTCATGCTCGAGAAGGGCCCGCCATCTCTCGCCCGTTTCGGAGGAAAGATGGGCCCTGACTGGGTCACTAGCAACAACCTGACCCGCTTCGACGTCCCCGGTCTTTGCAACCAGATCTGGGTTGACTCTGCTGGTGTAGCTTGCACTGACATTGACCAAATGGCTGGCTGTGTTCTCGGTGGAGGCGCTGCTGTCAATGCTGCGCTTTGGTGGAAGCCTGTTGATGTTGACTTCGACTACCAGTTCCCCAACGGCTGGAAGTCAGCTGACGTCAAGGGCGCAATCGACCGTGTCTTCAAGCGCATCCCGGGTACCGACACTCCCTCCGTCGACGGAAAGCGCTACAAGCAGGAAGGCTTCGATGTCCTATCTGGTGCACTTGGTGCAGATGGCTGGAAGAGCGTCGTCGCGAACGACCAACAGAACCAGAAGAACCGCACATACTCTCACTCTCCCTTCATGTACGACAACGGTCAGAGGCAAGGTCCTCTTGGCACTTACATGGTCTCCGCCCTTGAGAGGAAGAACTTCAAGCTGTGGACCAACACGATGGCCCGCCGTATCGTTCGCACCGGTGATACTGCTACTGGCGTCGAGCTTGAGAGCGGTGTTGGCGGCACTGGCTACTGCGGTACTGTCAACCTGAACCCTGGAGGCCGTGTCATTATTTCCGGTGGAGCTTTCGGATCCTCCAAGGTTCTCTTCCGCAGCGGCATTGGACCAAAAGACCAGTTGAGCATCGTCAAGAACAGCGCCCTCGATGGCTCGACCATGATCAACGAGTCTGACTGGATCAACCTCCCCGTCGGCCAGAACTTGAACGACCACGTCAACACCGACCTTGTAATCAAGCACCCCAACATCTCCTTCTACGACTTCTACAAGGCGTGGGATGCTCCCATCGAGAGCGACAAGGATCTGTACCTCTCCAAGCGCTCTGGTATCCTTGCTCAGTCTGCGCCCAACATTGGTCCCCTCGCTTGGGAAGTGATCAAGGGAAGTGATGGCATTGACCGATCACTCCAATGGACTGCTCGTGTTGAAGGCCCCGGTGCCAACGACACCCACCACCTCACTATCAGCCAGTACCTAGGCCACGGCTCTACCTCGCGTGGTGCGCTCTCCATCAACGGTGCTCTCAACGTCTACGTCAGCAAGGCGCCCTACCTACAGAACGAAGCCGACACCGGTGTAGTTGTTGCTGGTATCAAGAGTATGATGAAGGCTATCCAGAAGAACCCGATGATCGAGTTCCAGGTACCATCACCCAACATGACGGTCGAGGCATACGTTGCCAGCCTTCCCAAGACACCAGCTGCCCGTCGCGCCAACCACTGGATCGGAACCGCGAAGATTGGAACCGACAGCGGTCTTACTGGCGGAACAGCCGTCGTGGATCTGAACACTCAGGTGTACGGAACGAAGAACATCCACGTCGTCGACGCGTCTCTCTTCCCTGGGTAAGCTCACCCTCATTGTCGCACATGATCCTCGAACTAACATGGCGCAGTCATATCTTCACCAACCCTACGTCTTACATTGTCGTGCTCGCAGAACATGCTGCTGCTAAGATCCTTGCGCTTGGTGCAAGCAGTGGAGGTGGTAAGCCTTCGTCGTCTGCTCCGTCATCCGCCAGTACCGCTAAGCCCTCATCTTCCAAGGCTCCGACTAGTTCGTCAGCTGCCCCTGTGAAGCCATCGTCCACACCAGGAAAGTCATCGGCTGCGCCGACCAAGACATCTGCAGCACCCTCAGCTACTCCCACCAAGGCGACTCCTACCAAGACGGCAAACGCCTGGGAACAGTAAGTGGACAAAGAACTTTCATGCATTGAACACATACTAACTTCGAATCAGATGCGGCGGTCAAGGCTATACTGGTCCGACAGCTTGTGTCAGCGGATACAAGTGCGCAGTGAACAACACATGGTTCTCTCAGTGCGTCCCTAAATAAGAGGCGCACATCCATCTCCTGCCCCGGTCTCGACATTTGATACATCTGGGGCATCTTCTTTGTACATACTTTAGCTTCAGTGAATATCACTCTCTCATTTTGCAAATCCGTGTCTTGAGTGCCTCGCTTGACCTCGTGAGCTGATGACTTCCGCAGAATGTCTGGGAGCCGAGGTGACAGATGCGTGACGAATGCGGAATAGCGCACATCTTATCGCGCCCCGCTTTCATCGACCTTTCATCGCAACTTGCTGATCATCTCATCCCAACTTTCTTTTGCGCTTCCAACATTATTCGTTTCGCGTAGCAGCCCTCAATCTTACGTGACTTGGGTGTTGTATACTTCCTGGCTGTTCCACACGTACATGATGCCATCCAACTGCCCAGCCACCTCTGCCAAGCGCGACGATGACGCGTCGAAAAACGTGACGGAACTGCTCCATCAACGGCTTCAAAGCAGCCCTAAAGATGACTGGGGACGATTGTTCGAGTGCTGGGGCTATGATGATTGTGGTGACTGTCATCGAAGTAAAGGCCATTGCGGGTGGTGTGCGATTGTATGTTCACGTTTCCTTGATCGACTTTTCACGCATTCACCCCTGG